AATCTTTTTTTTCTTTCTTTCTCTTCTTCTCTTCTTCTCTTCTTCTTTTCTTCTTCTTCATGATTTAAAAAAATCAATATAGCACTTCTTCTCTCAGTAACATTGATGTAGATGCACTCACTCTGCTTTCTCATCAGTGAAAAGAATATACTTGCTGCTGCTGCAGCTATTCTGCATGAATAACTCTGCTCTAATGAAGTTCATTGCTCACTGTACATGTCTATTCAGCATGAAAAGTATAATGAGAATGAAATGAAATACTAACTCTGACAATTAGTTCTTCTTTTCACATCTGCATCTGTGTCTGTGCTCACTCTCACTTCTCTGCTCTCACTCTCACCCTCATTCTCGCCTGTGAGAGTGAGAGTGAGAAAGTGTCTGAGACTTCTCTCTCTTCTTTGAAGAATGAAGATGATGAGCTGAACTTATTTAGATAGATGTAAAAAGCTCTCTCTAAATGAGTGTAATATGATAAGAGAATAAGAAGCTAATATTATTGTATAGCAGTTCTTACTCTCACTTCTCTCTCTCTTTCTCAGACTTCTTCTCTTCTCTGTTCTTTGCAGAGGAAGAAGTTTCATCAGAATCAATCAAGTAAGCAATATGAATATGAATGAGATATATATGATAGGAAAAGAATCAATCACTGACATGTCATATTAGCTTTTCCTTTCTCTCTTCAGAGTCATTATGACTCTCTCTGCTCTCTGCATCAATGAGCTCATCTTCTTCACTCTCTCAGCTGTTTCTCATGTTGAGCACTCTCTCTCCCCCACTGCTGCTGTCACTGTTAACAATGTCATATAATGTCTCTCTCTCTCTCAACACTCTGTCCACCAGCTGTGTCTGTTGAGAGCAGGCACAGCTGATAAGTCAGTCAAGACAGGATTGAAATTGAATGATGAGCAAGAGCTCATCATTCTATCAGCCTCAGAAATCAGGAAAATGATAATCAGTCTCTCACAAGAAGTTTCAGTGCTTCTCTTCACAGAAGCAGAGAGTGTGACTGTGTGAGGCTATATTAACTGAATAATGAAGACAGAGCTGAGTGAGCAGCTGCTGAGAAAGAACAGGTATGCTGTCTGTCAAGAGAATAATGAGAAATATTGAGTGTACTCTGAGAAGGAAAGAGCTCAGATAGTCAAGTCTGAGAATTCTTGTTCTCACTGCTGAGTTATTGTATACAAGAACAGATATAGCATCTTCAAATGCAAGCTCAAGAATCTCAGTACATTCTCACTGACACAGTCATATCAGTTACTGCTAAAGAGACTATCTTCTTCTTCATCAGAAAGCAGTGCTCTGACAGTTTAGATTCTTATTTTATTTATACTGCTCTGCTTCATGAAGAAGATTTTAAGTAGAACTCTAATAAACAAGTAATCTATACAGATAAATATGTTGAAGATTCTATACAGACATTCTTTATAAGTATCAGTTATAAATGTAAATTAGTTAATATTGAAAAATAATATCTCAAAAATAAAATTTGTCAGATATTAGTTATATTTATTTTAAATCTTGATATTTGATTGACTCACAAGTTAACAGAACAATACAGAAGTTCTATTATTAATATATTTATTAGTGAAAATGTAACATTGTATATCAAAGAAAGATGAAGTAAGTAAAGCTTCAGTATATTCATCAATTTTAGTTATTCTTCTTCAGAATTGTTTTCAAAGTATCAGATAGATTATTTACAGTAGATAAAGATAGTATATTTTCAATGAAAATAGAATCTTACTCTATATTATCATTGAATTTCTCAGAATAAGACTTAACTTCAGCATTAATAATTATATCATTTAAATTCAAGTTCATTGCAATCAACTGCTGCTGAATTCATACTTAATTAAAGTGCTCAATCTTCTTCTTCAGATCTTTCACTTTAATTAAAAGTATATTCAAGAAGTCAAACATATGTTTCTTTGACAGTAAAAGTAAATCTCAAGATAAGATATAATCATTCTTCAATAGACTTCTAGTAGTAGAGAATATCTCAAGCTTAGTAACAGTACTTGTATATTCCTCAGTAAGTGAACACTCAAAGATAGACTCTAAAATCTGCTGTAGCTGATGAACTCATGTATTTGACAGACAGACTCAATCAAATATAAGATAGATATTCTTTATTGAATTTTTATAGCATTTCATCTTCAGCTTACAGCTATCATTGAGATGTTCTATGCCTAGATCAATTGCTTTAAAGAAGTCAGGTTTTCCAGATCAGTTGATAAGACTCATAGTTATAATTACTTAATACAGAGAAGAGATTTTAATGAATTGAAGTATTCAAAAATAATGAAATATCTCAGTGACATAATTATGTTAATCAGTACTAAGAAAGAAGATAATCAGAGATGAAATGAAGTACTCAAGAAGTTCAATATCATCATACTTAACAGTATAGTGTATTCAAATGAATAATTCACATTCTCAGAGAAGACAATATATGATACAGAATTTAATATCTTGAGTGAGCTGAGAGATTTAAGAGTTGATTTCATTTCAGACATTAAGAGTAAATACTTTGATATATACATCTTCAATAAGCTGAAGATACTGTGAAGAACTAAGCTATTATATAATAGAATCAATATCTTCTAAGTACTCAAGATTACTAACTGAATAATCTCAATGTTATATAGCAGTATAAAATAGAGTAAGACTTCAAGATACAAAGCTCTGAGAAATCACTGACTTAAGAAGATGATATTTCAGATTGACAGCAGTTATAGAATTTCAGTTTTAATAAGCAAGATCAGACTGAATACAGTGATGAGTCTTCTCAGAGACTTCAGCTTCAAAATAAGTATAAATAATGATAAAGAGTAGATTCATTTAAATATGAAATTATTCAGAAATAGAATGAAGTCAGTTGCACTGTTCAAAGATATCTGTAGATTTTAACTGCTTTATCTTAACTAATTGAATGAGTTTTGTAATCAAAGCATCTTTATACACTGAAAAGAGATGAGTTGAAAATGCTGTATAATCTCTTAATAAATTAAGAAAATCATTAAATATCTTCTTATGAACTCTCATAGTTTCTGCAATAGTGTTCTCATTTTCAAAAATAGCACTCAACTGCTGAAAACATGTTCTATGCACAGAAAGTGTATTAATAACAGATATTTAAGATAATAAATCATTTGCAGTACTGAAAACACTTTTAATCTTATCATTATAAATCTTTCAAACAGTATCTGAAATAAGACATGATGTTATTTGCTTTCAAAGCTTATTATTATTGTCTGTCATATCAGATGTATCAATGATTTCTTGCAGTGTTAGCAGTCTTATGAAATCATGCATAATCTGAGTTAGATCAGTTTCTGAAATATTGAGAGAAATAATCACAGTAGCAGTAGTTATAGCAGTCATGAAATCATTATATCTGATTATCTCATCTCATACAGTCTTCTTGAAGTTCATATTATCATAGACTATAACAGCTTGAGAATCTTTGACAAGCTGCTGAAGTTTAATCTAACAGTAAGAATTAGTCAAGTGATTGACTTAGAAGTTGATAGAAGTTCAAAGAATATATTAGAAAATGACAGATATTATCAGAGATTACTAGAAGTTTGAGATATTAGATAGAAATATTAATAAGTTAAGAATATTAAGTCATATCTTCTCTCATTTAGTAATTTTCATTATTAATCTATTTCTTATCACATAGCTGTGACAGAGTTCAAAGCTAGAAATGATTTCTATCATTTATCATTTTACTTCTGAGTCATGAAAATATGCAGAGAGAATAGAGCTGAAGAAGTTTGAGTTTTTCAAGAAATAAGAGTAATATATAATACTTATAATAATAAACAGCTGTTTAATAGCTGTTATTTCATCTGAGTCTCATTCATAGCTCTTTCAATTAACATGTTTATTTTTTAGAACAGAAGTAAGTAGATCAAATCAGGTTGATATATCAGTCTGAATAATCTCAAAAGCAGTCTGAAAGTTAATGATATTCAGATCAGAATCATGATTGAATTTTATAAAGAAGAGAGTATTAATAAGATATTTCAGCTTCTATTTAAGTAAGACAGTATAACATTGATTATCATTGAATATCTCTACTTTGAAAAGTACTGAATATAGTATATTTCATCACTTCATAGAAGTACTGTATTATCAATGAGTCAAGATATCAGAACTCTGAATTTAAGTCTTTATAAAGATCTTCATTTCTCAACTGTTTTACTGTAATGTTCTGATAATATGAGATAATTTCAACTGTCTTTTCTATCAGTTATAAGGCATTGTAGACAGATGCTGTGAGTCACAGTGATTTGATTGTGAATAAGCTTACAGAGTATCAGTATCAGTATCAGTGATCTCAAATTCTGAAGAAGTATTAATAGATTCAAGCTCTGTTAAGTCACTGTCTGATGTATTATATTCATTATCTACATTATTGAGAGACTGTAGTGATTGTAGAGAGAATTCATCTTTAAGTAATGAAGAATATTAACTGAAGTGCATCTGACATTGAGTGTCTTGAGATTCAAAAGACACACTGTCTTTTATCAATGATTATGATATGATGAGAAGAAGTAGTGAGTTGTAAAATAGCAGAGATAATAGCAGAATGACTGAGAATTCAAAAAATATTGATTTAGTGATGATCAGGCAGATATTTAGAGTAGATATATGATTTCAAAGTCAATTGAATATTTTATATGAGTGAAGTTGATTTTTCATACACAATGAAACTGTTTCTTCTCAGACTCTCTATGAGATATTAGGTTGTGAGCATGTGTGAAGTCTCTTATTGGTCCAGAAGTTAGCAGGACTTGGCAGAAGTCTAAAGGAGTTTAGTTGGTCGCGCTAATCTGAAAATATCGAGAAGAGAGGCTGAGCATGCTGAGATAAGGCCCTTACGGCTGTTGCGGTTAGCGATCCCACTAGATCACGTGACCCACCACTATATTATGTTCCTGTAGATAGATCTATCAATACAACCTTCAACTATCCCATATGTAGGCCGAGAGTTTGTCCAACACGGGGTTGAGTCCCAATCGCAGATTCACATAGTCACCGCGGACAATATTCCTCACTCACGGGCAATAGCACCATTTTATTTCATTTTACTATTTGCGGTAGAAAGTCTGCGAAGGAAGATTAGCCACATTCCATGTTTGTTAGTTACATCGGTGATTCGAAAATAAAATGAGGGAGCTAGTTAGCTGAATGAATGTCTATTATTACTACTCTCACCTAATTCCGATTTTTCTACGGAGTAGTTTATCTGTTGATGTTGGTGCTTAATAAAACTAACAACATCAAGGGGGGTGTGAAGAGTAATTATCCTCCTGTAGTTATTATTACTGTAACTGCGGACATCGCGAGGGGCAAGGATTGCTCAACCGCCTGGCGAAAATCACTTTTATTTCCTGACGTCAATCAATAAATTTAGAGCTACCCTGATGAGATAACTAGATCTCGTCGGCTTCAACGACAGCGAATGAGATTGGAGGGTGTGTAGACTTCCTTTTTCTCCAACTCCAGCACGCGAGGAGTCGAGTTTTTCATAGCAACCTTGTGTTAAATCAATAAAATACGCTGTGATGGCAGTCCAGCCGCGTCCACTCTTAACTCAACTGGCGCAGTCTAGATAGTCTAGATCCAGCCATCCTACGCTACGAACAGTGCGAACAATGCGAACAAGGCTCTCAAGAGGCTTCCCGACATGCATCTCGTGAGTCCCGTCTGATCATGATTATTCTCCCCTATAACTCTCTGAAGAAAAGGACAGGAAGGGTCAAAAGAGATTCTCAAATCGTCGTATTTCCCAAAGCCGCGATTGCCAACGTTTGTTATCCAAAATGGCCTTCATCCTTGCTGATTTATATTAAGCAAAATGTCCATGGATCCATCGCTCCACGCTTCGATGGGACCTTTACAGCCCCTTTGCACTGTCGCAGAAATTCATCGAAACATGAGTGGGTAGTAGTAGTAGTTAGTCCTTGCTGGTAGCCTGTCGGTAGGCCCTCCGCCCGCTAGTTCACCCTGAACTGACATCTAACTTTATCTTCAGGTCCAGTAATACGCCGCGTAATTCGCTGGGGAAGGGCGCAGCGACCAGTCATCCCCTGGAAGGTTTGAACCCTTATTAGTTACATCTTCAAAAAAGTGCAAAGGGGTGATATTATTCTTGGGATACCGGTGGCCTTCTAGGTCGGCGACTTTCTTGTGTGAGGTTGTATCCATAATAATAATAATCGCCACGCTACAGAGGCGAGCCGAATGTCTTTGCATCTTGACGGCGACTATCCCGCACAGAGAAATGCCAAAAACAGCAGAAATGCTTGAGAAAGAAAAGAGTTCCAATGGTCTGTCCGTGCTGGACCCTTGGCTTGATGGCTGATCCGTATTTCGCGACAGGCCAACCAGGGCGACGTATGTAAGACGACAATAATAATAATAATAATAATAATAATGTGCAGGGGAGGACAGGACAGGCGAGAGGAGGCTATTCCTCTCCTATCTTGTTGGATATTTCTCTTCTTCTTCTCCTTCTCTTCCTCTTTCTCTTCTCCCTCGTCCGCTCTGACAATACTTAAATTCTTCGCTTCTGCACTCGTTTGGCAAATTCCGCTCCTTTTTTCTTCAACTGCTGCCAATTAACATATTCGCTATATTCTCTCCTTCATCAATACTTTGATTTCTTTCTTATATATATTGTTCTTTTTTGAAAAGAAAAGAAAAAACCCCAGCGAAAATGCATCTGATGAAATCTCTTCTTGCCAGCGCGCTTCTGGTCGCTGCTGCTGTTGCCCAAAAGATTTCTTTCACCAGCTTCCCCGAGGATGTCCAGGCTGGCGAGCCTGTGACTGTCACCTGGACCGGTGGTAGTGACGAGGTACTTCCAGAGGCCCCTTTGCTTGATCCAAGATATCAATTGCTAACCGTGTCTACTTTCTAGCCTGTCACCATCACGCTAATGAAGGGCCTCAGTAAGGACCTGCAAGAGGTCGAGACCTTGACCAGTAAGTTCACCCCAGCTTTGCAGCAATCCCTAATCAAATTGCATTCTAGTACATGTACTTACCTTACTCTCAACCTACAGCCTCCGGTCAAGACGGTGCCTTCACATGGACCCCTGAATCTGACATCGTCAATGGCGACGACTATGCTCTCCGAATCAGCCAGGGTGACGAAGTCAACTACACCAACCTGTTCGACGTCAGCGGCGGCTCTGGCAAGGAGGAGACACCCTCTCCAACCGTTACCACTCCTCCCCCCACCGTTACTGGCACTTCGTCCCCAAGCTCTGGCCCCAGCAACTCTAGGAACAGCACCAGCAGCGAAGCAACCACCATCACCACTGGCGTGACTGTTACTCCCACAGGTCCCACGACTGCTCCTCCCACTCCAACTCCTAGCGAACCTTCTGCCGCCTCCATTATGGCCGTGTCCAGCCCCTTCGCATTGATTATGGGTGTGTTGGCCGCATTTGTCTACTTGCATTAAATTACATTTGATGTATTTTGAAACCATCTAAATTTTTTTCTCCTCTACTTCGATTGTCGAAGATATATTTAAGCTTCTTTGGGCTTCGGTTCTTTTCTTCTTCTATTTTGTCCACTGCAAACTCCATCTTCTACTGGAGCTCGTGATATCATACCCTGTCTTTCTGTTGTCTTTTTTTATTTATTTTTTATTTTTTATTTTTTTCTCTTCTATAGACAACACTCGACCCGATCTATTCGTCATAATAATGTTGTGTCGCTCTATTGACTTACCTACAAACACATCTTTACACATGCTGCGCATCTTCACACATAGTCGCATGCGACTTCTTGTCCGACCACCTAGGACGGAAATGGGAGCGGGATCAGTTAAAACAGGAAGAAGGGAAATGATGTAGGGGTGTTGCTCTCGAAAGCTTGGAGAGGGCAGGGAGGGATGAAAGCCGGCATGGCTCTCCTTGAGTGCCGCCCAGAAGCTCCGTATGGAGATTATCCTATTGTGCTTCGTCTTCTATTGATTTAGAGTTGGAGTCTTGTATCTTTCTTGATAATGAAAAGGGCAGTGTTCTGCTTTTCTCATTCTTTGCCTCTCTTTTTTTCTTTCGTAAGTAATTAGAAAAATAGCATTCTGCAACCAGCCTCCGTCCCTGGTATGTAACTGCTGCATTGCCACAGATGTACCTCTCTATTCCAGGCTGCATCCATGTATTGACGGATTAGGGGACCTTACCTGTGCAGCACGGGCTGATGTATTCGAAGCTGTACAAGCTGCTCCATATTCCACCACCTGGCTAGACTGGCAGAGGGCGGAGAATCCATACCTCTGCGGCAGTAGTACGGAATTGCTCATCTCATCCTATAGGCACAGTTACAGGTACAGCTCACTCTTTCTTCCCCTCATACTAGTCGCACTAACTAGTAACTTAATGTATAGTTATAAAAGGTTAAAGTCTAGCAGTTCGAATAGTTTTTCATGCGCGCCCTTTCTCAGCAGTGAAATAAATATCGTGCATTCTGATAGACGCCCGTGAACTGTGTTCAACTGCTGGCAGCCAGTAATATATGTGGTGAATGTTGCTCGAGAGTTGTAGATATTTAACTAATCTACTGAAAACATACAGATGTAGGTTGATCTTGAAACCATGGGAGAGATGATGCCAGAGACTCTAACCATTAAATATGAAGGTTCGTTCCTGATCAAGTTCCATCGAAACTCAATTAGAGTAAAGATCTGGTTTTGTTTTCCTTTCTGCCCCAAATTTCTGGGGAGAGAGACTGTCTGTCCACCGAATGGGATGCAGCAGGGGATGCAGCAAGAGGATGCTGACATCACCAGGTGGATGAATGAGGTGTCAAAATCTGCAATTTCTTCTCATCCCGCAACAACCTTCATGGATTCCTTCATACAAGAGATAGTCAGTCCATCATTATTCTTATATCTGTTTGTTTAAATTGTTATGGGGCCTGATTCCATGCTGGCTTCCGCAGTTATTCAATCCTTTCCCTTATCCCAGCTTAAATCTCATTCCTTTTTCTTTTGCCTCTAGAGCTTGGCTAAAACGCTGCAGCCGGTAGATTGGGTTGGGCATCTGCAGATCTGTGTCGCTCTCTCTCTTTAATCCTCCCTTTGTTCATTTTTATCTCATCATATAGATATACTGTTTAACTTATTACTTTCATTCACATCTGCAGAATTGTGTTTGTGTCTCTGTGTATCTCTTCAGCATCCTGGTATACCTTTTCTCTCATCTTCAATCAGCCGCAACCTGGCATTCCTTTTCTCTCATTCATCAGATTTACAATGTCTCGACGATGAAGAAACAGAAACAGCACAACACACCACAGTCAGATCTCCTCCAGGTGCAGAAAGTGAGCTTGAATTCATTTGGCAGTATGTTGAAAACATCCTTCCCCATTTTCCAAGCCCCGCATCCAGCATCTGCAGCAGGAGCAGCACTCCACTCTCTAGCCTACCTGTCGCGCCTCCTATGCCCTTCCCGTTTCTCCCGTTGTACATACAAAGAAAAAAGGAAAATAAAGGAAGAGGGGGGACAAAAGGGATGAAAGGGAGGAAGAGGAAGAGAAAAACATCCCCTCCAACAAGAAAAATGCGAGGCGCGATAGAGCGCGTCAGACTTGTCAAGACCAAATTCAGCTTCTGCCGGGTCTCCGATGCTAATCATTCTCCTCCGCCATCCGTGGTGGTGGAACAACTAGCTGCAGAGCCCCCCCAGGTGCACCTTGCCGATGTCGAAACCCGTCTCAACATGCATCAGTTCAATGGTCTCTTCGAATCCTCTACTCCCGAACGCCAACAGCAACAGCAGCAGCAGCAGCAACAGCAGCAGCTCCATTATCCCGCTCAGAACGGGAGTGGGTCCGATGAAAACTCACATGGTGCGCCTAAATACCTAAATATCGGCTTCGTGTAATTTATATTATACCAAAGCCATGTTACGTATATTAACGAAATGCCTATAAAATCGGCTGCTAACATATTTTCCCAACATGATCGATAGTTCCTTCTACAACCCGAAACCCTCCTGCCACCGCCGCAATGTCCAATGGAGACTCTCCGCCTGCCCCCGAATGGTCATCTGCCGTAGGACACGCGATGACCGGGAAGTCCGGCCGAGTCATTCACAATTTACAGGAAGATATAGCACGCCTGACGCGCGAATGCAGTTTACATCGGTCCCGCGCAGAAGAGGCGCAACGCATAAACGAGACGCTCAAGCTCCAGCTACAAAACGTGACGGACCGTCTGCGTAATTCCGAGCAATCACACGAGGCGCATCTTATCTCGATAGCGCGCAAGGATAGGAAAATCGAAGACCTGAAAGCGGAGGTACAAGCGGAGAAAGATAGGCGGCTGAAGGCGGAGGAGGATGCGCGGAGAACAAACCAGCTAGCCGCTGAGGAGCGAGATGAAAGCCACCGTGCAATCGCTGAGGCTACGGAGATCGCCAGCCAGGCGCGCAATCAATATGAAACGCTGTCCCATGCGCGATCGAGGGAGCAAAGCGAGTTTAGAACGCGTGTCGATGGTTTCCGCGCAGAGCTGAAGGAGTTATGCAATCGGGAAATAGAGAGGCAGAATCAGCTCACGCGCTTCGATGTGATCATTGAGCAGAAGAATAAGGAGATTGAGGCGGAGAGGGATCGGATGGAGCGGTTTGGACGACTGTTTGCGGAATATAAGGAGGCCAGCGACCGTGCGGTACATGAGCTGGTGGAGAGGAGCCGGAAGAATAACGCTGCGATTGATGATGTGGTTGACCAGGCGAAGGAAGTTACGGGGAGGATGAGGTGGGTTATGAAGGTCAAAGACGAGGTTAAGGGAGCGGAATGACGGTAGACATGGATACGGAAAACCTGATCGGATTTGCCGAGGATACCCGCTTCCTGTCGTCCTTCTGATTATCTCTTTTTTCCCTTCTTCCTTCGAGATACTGTATGATGTACGAAGCGAAGGCGATTCGATTCGATCCTTAGGGATACACCACAAAGGCCGAGCGTGTTCCGGATTCTCCCAAGCTCATATAGAGGAAACGGATTCGGGATGTTGCCGGTCTTATATATGCCTTTTCGTTTCGTCCTCAGAGGTTACACTCCATTTTCCAATGCGCATGACCAGAAACCTGCCCATCACATGATTTCGACGCACGACTGGCTGAACGCATGCAGAATCTTCAAAATAGCGACCCCGACCCCGACCCCGTTTCACGCATATATCCCAGAACTCATTCCAATTTACGACCATATTTTATTTCCTCATCTCTTTACCTCTGATCTTGTGTACAGAGTCCCATTTACATATACGCAGCAGCAAGCGCGACCAATTTAACGACTAAATTCCTTACCATACATACATATACGGACAAACATACTTACATACCACATTGCGCATACATACACATACCAAAAGGCCTGCGGAAAAGCATTTACAGCCCCCTAAAATAGGACAGGTATACGGCGGTTTTATCCTCTTTTTTTTTTTTTCCCTTGTCGGATTTTTACCATCTACAGCCGCAGTTTTACAGGGTTACAAAGCCAACAAAAGGATCATAAAGGCAAGGAGGGAAATCTCAACTACATTTTCATGCCCTTTTACCTTTTCTTTTTTCTTTCTTTCTTTATTCCATTCTAAAGAAGTGACGAATTCCTTCCTCTATTTCTCCTGTAATCCCTTTTAATTCTTCTCTTCTTTTCGTTCCCTTCGGGCTCCCATTCACTTTTGTCTCATTCCACTATTCTACTGCCCTGTTGTTTGCTGATACAATATATTTTAATTACTCTTCGCTTCGTTTTTACTGGGCCTCTTTCATTGCTATCTAAGACGGGACGGTGTTTGCTGGTTTTTCCCTTTCTCCAACACTCTTAAAGGGAGCTTTTTTATTGATGAAATATATACTGATTGATAAATACATATACCCTGGTTTTTAAAAATAGCATGCAGCAAATGAGAATAAGGGAGGTGAGTGAGAGCATGCTGAATGCACCAACTCTAGCATGGTACCTGTGCCTGCAGGATACATATTGCATTTTCTCTCTTTAGCGCAGCTTTTAAAAGCCCTACAGCAGTTATGCCAATGCAGATACCCATAGGCCTATCTTACTGGCTTCAGGTGAGAAGGGAGAGAGGAAGGATACACAATGAGCTGTATGGAAATATGGAAATCGGGAATCTCTCTCATCACCATAGTGACTGACCATCTCAAGCATTCTTTGATTAACTAATGTTTTAACACACAACTTCACAGTAAGAGGATAGCAGCTCTCTATGATTTTCTCACACTGAAGATATCATTCATACTAATTCTCTAGAGTATAAAGAGAGAGCGTGCTGTTATGGTCAAGCTCTAGTGTTGCCTTGTTAGCAGAAACACGCAGCCAAAAGAGGAAATAGCAGATCAACAACTAACTGGGTATCTGCTATTTGATTCTCTCGGCCTCTTTTCTTCTTCTTTCTTCTCTTCTTCTTCTCCTTCTTCTGTATCACTGTCAACCTCTTTTTCATCAGCTTTTTCATCTGTCCTTGAGATCAACTTTGCCTGGTAGAGAGTGGCGCAGGCTAAAAAGGGGGGGGAAGAGAGAGAGAAAAAGAAGAAAAAGCATCTTTTGCCGTCCGCTACGGTCTGATACCAAGTATGTGACACCTACTGCTAACTCTCACTGCTTGCTGTCTTTGATTTTTCATGCTGCACTCGTCACTATTCTCTGTCCTCCCTATCCCTATCATTCCGTTGACTGCTCTTCTCTTTGGCCTGTCAGTTCGTCTGGCGGTCCGTAAATCAGTTTTCGCGGAGGCATATATCAGCCAATACCACGGTCAACGGGCAAGAAAGTGCCCCTGGAATTTCACTATCTCCTTGTTGAACGATCTTGATTTATCCAAGGCTCGAAGGCCCCCGTTGCCAGTCCTTTCAAGCAAGTTGCATAAGAGTTCTTATTTTGCTAAACCCAGTCTCTCACTGGTGAACCGCGTCCGCTTTCACCTGTATAAATTAAAAAGGCACGGCCACTGATAGAACAGGCGTGATCGGTGAAAGGTTAGATGCGTTGGTGAATCGGCCCTATCTGTACCCATCCATATTCGTTTGTTTCGTCCCCAATTTATCCGGCTTTTCTCTGCTTTTACGCTATTTGTTGATCGACTTGTTCTTGATACTATTTCTCCTAATCGAGATCTGACTCGCTGGCAGCTCTTCTCCTCACATCTGCGGAAACTATTTCATTGCCTTTCGTTTCGAAGCGGCATCGTGTGCATTTGGGATAACTGCCCCAGATTCTGGCTCTGTGGTAACCCCCTTGTGGCTCAGATATCGGTAAACTTGGATATATTGAAAGTCCAAAGCTACACCTCAAAATGGAAGGTCCACAGACCTTGACTGTGGCCTCCACTTGGAAATTTGACAACGACGCGGTGAGTTTGCAGGATTTGTACAACGTTTCGAACAGGACAGGGCTGATATCTCATACATTGCAGGCTGGACATATTAGAAGACTCTTCAAGTTCGTTCATGATCACCCGATTTTTATAATCTCTTTCTGGCAATACTAATTCGGATCGCGTTTTAAGGGCAACCTCCGCAGCTGGTGTTGGTTTCTGCAAATATGAGCCTGTTAATAACGTGAGTAAAGGACATTACGTATCCAAACGGTAACAAAGGCATATTTTCGTCGGCTAAATATAGGCTTATGATATAGGTCTTCGTTGTGGACAACTGTGATGTTATGGGATCGGCGTCAGAGCTGAGCATTTTGGTGGCCAAGTATATTGACGCCGAGAAGGATAACGACAGGATAGAGGTATGAACATCAAACACTGCTATGAGTGTAGTTCCATACATGCAACTCTTAGTAATTTCATGTTATCATAAAGATTCCGAAGGTGTCCCGCCTAGGGCCACTAAATGCTCCTTATGAAATTCCATATGAGGACGATATAATCGAGGAAGCGGAAGGGGCTTTGATCAATTTCTCTCGAGGTAGTGAGAGCACTAAAATTCCCATTACCACGAAGTACTGGAAGTCCAACTTGGGGACTACTGGTGGCTTTGAGAAGCTGCGATACGCCATCGACGAAGTGTCCAGGCTATCTGGAGCAGATATCGTCCTCGAAGAGGCGAATGACAGAATCCGTGTGTTCAGTTACTTGGATAGTAGCATCGTTGACGATGCAATGAGCCGGCTTTCCAATTTGCACCCGTGCCTAGTATGTCCTCTTTGTTTGTAATTCTCGGTTTGGCTTATGCCATGTTGAATGTGTTATTGTTGAACTCCTTTCGTTGTCAGGTTTGGGAGATCCTCTGTTTTGGTTTCTTTGCTTCACCCTCATCATTTGTTTACACTCCATTTCATTCCATATATGACCACTTCCTAGGGCGGCATCGATGCTAACAGACGTTAGTCTCTTTCAATTACGCCTCAAGTCTCACCTATTTTAAATGTGCCCCCAGAGACGGGATATCACGTCAAACTCTCGCCATATGCAGATTTGCATAGAAACGCTGTTCGTCGCATTCTCGTCGACCCGGAAAGGAAAGATATCGGTCAACTTTCCAAGATGTTTGTCACCGTGATTGTGGGAAGAGATTCGGAAAGTCACGACAACCAGGTTCCTATCAACCTCAGGAAGCCACCCCGTCCAACGGAGCCCAAGAAAGGACGGTCCAAGCTCTGGGCTGATTTCAAATTTCAGGGTCTGGGGGACGCGTCAAATGCCCCTCGGTTTGGGGACAGCGTCCCTGAGGAGGCGGATCCTGTTCAGCAGAGTCAACTAAGAGCGTTGCCAACTGCTCCGCCAGGGGGTGCCCTGGTTAGCAAGCATCGTTTCCTGACTCCGGAAAAGGCTTCGTTTGTCGATAACTGGGCCACAGAGGTTGAGGCTGGAGCAGTGGGACCAAACGTCTCGGAACCTAACGGCACGCCGCCTCCAAACCCTCATACAGAGCCTGCTCAGTCAGTTCTGCCTCCGGGAATTAAAAGGCGCAAAGCTGTCATCATCGATACAGGAGAGGGTATTTGCGCGCCCATCGAAGACTCGAAGCCTCTTCCGTCAGCTGAGGCCTCTACAGCGGGCCACGTCAGAAGTGCAACCAACGAAGATGGTGCTGCCCAACCGGACCCTCGGCTGCCTGTGAATTTTATTCCCGTCGCGTACGGACAACCAGATTGCTCTTCCGCTGAGAACAGCTGTCTGAGAAAGACCTCGTGCCTGGAGCCCACAGAACAGGGCGAGCCAACCCGACTTGTTGATTTAGAGGATACCTCGCCAGTGGCAAGTGCAGTGATACCACCAATATCGTACATGCCAGTTCCCCTAGCACTCACAGAGGCGGCGAGGTTAGGTTCGACGATTGGAGAATGGCATTCTGAACATGCAAAAGAGAATAAAACTTGCCGCAGCAATGGGCCCACAAATGAGCCACTTGTTGGAAACGCTCCTAGAATCCGCGAGCCTGAGCCTCGAGTTTTCCATCGGATCATGGGCCAGAAGGCTGGGAAGAATGCCCGAACGGGAGAGGATCGAAAAGATAAAACCGAAAATCGGGAAAATTTTGCTGATGTTCCATCCGCACCTTCGATTCTCTCAAGAACATCGACTTCTTGTTCTTCTAGTTTCTCTAGAAAATCTATCCAGTTAAGCGGATGGAAGAAGGCGCAACAGGCGAAAGAGGATGAAAAACGTGGGGTCGCACTCAATGAGTTCCTCCGGCACGTTAGCCTCATTCTAAATGGAGTCCGATGCTTCCCAGGAACTGTTTCATTTGAAATTCAGCTGGGACTTGTACTTGCAAGTCGATCGCTCATCGAACAGTCAAAGGAAGTGCCCTTAGATCTCAAGGCCTGGAACAGCCTCTTTCAGCCCAAGAATAACCTCCCTAAGCCCAGCACCATTTTCACAAACATGCTCACAACCTCTGGCGCTGACGTCGATTATATACTCGACTTACCTGATAGCCAGGATGGTTCCACATGCCAAATGTTTTCAGAGGAAGTTGTCAGTCGTCGTGTTTGGTACGAATTTCACTGCACAACCAAAAATGACGAGACTTTGGTGGTCACTGTCGATGAATCTGGGACAGCGGCTGTGAATAGGCCGGAATCCGTGTTGGGTGCGGTCAATGTCCACTGCGCAGCGCAAACCTGGGATATGAGGGGCGTGGTGAAAGGCGCCGTCGAATACATTCGAGGAGACGAGGAAATAGACCAAGCAATCCAAAATCTCATCGGCAAAATGTATATCGAGCCCGGCCTGTCCGAAATCGTAATTTTCACTCGAATTCCGGAAGGGGGCCAACTGAATATCACAAAAGTTCTCATGAAGCGTTCCACGCGCCATCGCTTCCACCGGCATAAGACAGGACCCTTGCAAGTAAGCACTGCAAGGAAACCCGGCATCCACGACAGGATTCATTCTCTTCTTAATGATCAAGGGAGCGGATCTGCTGGTAGTGCTAACGGCAATACGACACCGTTTGGGAATGAGGAAACGTTTCTCCAGATCACTGAAGTCCAGAATCTTTTTTTGGGGTATTCTGGTGATGATATGATGGCCGTGCGTGCGCGGGCAAAATCAGCTGATAAGATGGTAGACGATCACAGGTTATGGTATGAGATATCTGTTATGAACCCAACAATCGAAGAGATCTTGCACTCCAATAAATATCTCGAATTTGGCGACACTGTCACTTCCTGGTCCGTCTTCAAACCACCACCTGCAAAAAATGGAAAGCGATCCACCAATGCTATCACCGCTGCCAAAACTTCCGAGACCAGCATAGCAAATTCGAAACTTCCAGAACAACCCACTTCAGAAATCAGCTCCAAGGACGTGAGCGAAATGTTCCACGCCGCGAACAAGATTGTTCAAAAGATCGACGATGTTGGACGGGACAACTACGGCCCTGAGGCCCAAGCAGGACTGAAGGTAGATCAAACCATTACTGTCCCATCAGTGGCTACAGCTGAAGTGCCGACAAGCTTTTGGTAGGTGAGAAGCTTTTGCCGTGCACCTCATAGATGGTGGTGGGTGTGAGTGCTTGGAAGGGATTCCCAGGGTGGGGGGGTACCTTATATGAATAAATCTGTTCTTTGCATTTGTAATTTGTTGAGGCCCTTGCATCCCAACCAGAGCCAGGCACAGCGTGGAGAGGTTAGGGGCGGCGACAGGGAGTCGTTTTTTGGGCTTTTCCATGGAGGAGTGATGCATTAATTATTCTCATACTTGTAAATACGCAGTCTATAGTGACAAATGTGTCAAATGGGTATTTTATACTAGTGTTACAATGAGCACACATTAATGATACTGATTGTATTAGCAATCAAGATCTCCTCATTGGAGGTTGTATGAAATAATGACTCACATCAGTGAAGGGCTCTTGACCTGAGACAGTCTCTACACAGTGTACACTGTGTATATACTCAGAGTCTTCAGAGGAATCTATATTCAGTGGTCTCTATGCTCAGAGGTCTCTATATCTGAGAGCTTTATACACAGAGAGCCTCTACCCTTCTATAACCAGGGGCTTTATACACAGAGAGGCCTCTACTCAGAGAGTCTCTATACACAGAAAATCTATATCTATATATCTGAGAGCCTTCATTGCTGGGGTGAGACCGTGAGAGGAGGCTCTACAGTGTTCAAGAGAATTACAGAGTATATATTGAGAGATCTATGAGGTGAAGCTCATAGTCTGAAAGCCAAGACTCTCTAAACTATATATAGTAATATACTAAGTATATTAGGACTAGTGTAATGGGTGCGTGATTATAAAATCAGTATTATGTGGAATTAAGCCTTTACACTAAAAAAACATTGCTATAGACTGCTGTAGTAAACACACTTCAATTATCAGACATTGATGCTAGTTTTCTGCTGTTCACAGTTAGACTTTATAGTTTAACTAGCTGCTGTAGCAGTCATGCATATCTCTACAAGAAAATCCTCTTTTGTTGTCACCAATCTGTAAATTTTCAATCAGTTGTATTGTATTCTAGGCCAACTATGAACTATAGTTCCATGAACATAGGCATAGATGTAAGTTGCATTCTGCATCTCTTCCTCAAGCTTTAGTCCACAGACTAACTAGTTAATTCAAAAGTAAAAACTTGACTTTGCTACAGATTGACTGTCAATTTTGTGAAACAGGCTGTCAGTTAAAGTCTCAGCCAGCTTGCACACATTATTTAACAAGAAGTACATTATATAGAGCTTAGTGAAGATTATGAGCTAGCAAAGGATACCTTTGACCAATACAAAAGATAAATCAAGGGACATAGCATTGTGAAGAGCTGTGCACATCCATCAAAGGAGAATCTATAAAATCTAACCCTAGGAAGTGGCAGGCTAAAAATAAGAACAACAATCAAAATGGTTTGTTAAAGCAAAACAAGAACAGGTTTTTTTCTTTTTTTTTTCTATCTGAAAAGTTCCATTGATGCCATTCCTTTCTTTCATTCATCATGCTTGGAGGACGAGCACCGCACCTCTCCTTTCCCACAGCTATGTCAATCCTCTTCATCCTCCTCTACATCCACTACCCCCCTCAGCCATGCCGCCCTTGCATCTACAGCGGCCTTCCGTACGTCCCGCTTAGGATCATCTAGCGCAAACCTAAGGGTGCGTAGCACGACATGCTTCAGCGGAAGCAACGGCGATGGTTTCGCACTTGCAGCTTTAGCTGCCGGTGAGGTTGAATCCGAAACGCCAGGAGTCTGCGCAAGGAGAAGGAGACACTGGAGGGACTGTGCGCGGATGTGTGGAGTGTTTGGCACTGAGGTGGAGGTGTCATTGGCACTAGTTGCAGCCGTGGTTGTTTCCTTGGTTACTGTTGTTGATGTTGATGCTGCGGTATTCTTGTTATATACCGCTGTCTTCAACAACCTCTTCACGAGATCATCGACGTAGCCCACTTCGTTAATTACGCTGACACCGTTATCGCGGATGATCACAGCTAGCGTCTCCAGCGTGCCGGCTTTTATGGGCTGTGATAGTGGGTCAGTCAAATCTAGACTTTGGAGGAGGAGAGGAAGTAAAGTTGGTAGTTCTGGCATGACGAGAGATGAAGGGATAGTGGAGAGAATGCCAGATAGGGCAGTTAGGTATGCCTGTTTGGTATGGAGTGGAACTTGGGATGCGGCGGTTGCGCCCGTGTTGAGATCTCGCACGTTTTGGGAGATTAGCGGGATTAGAGTGGAAAAGACGCGTTGTTTCGAAAGGAAGCGGATGACAGCGCCGTTTTGGGGGGAAAGAACATCATCTGGGCTTAGGAGGAGGGCAAATCCCCGTCCAGAGGTTGTGCTTGTTTGGGCGTCCGAGGACGAGAGGAGGGCTAAAAGCGAGTTGAGTATTTCTGCCGTTGAGGGAGCAAGGCGAAGTATCAATGCCTTCGCTAGCCAAAATATTGTGCGGATTTTGGGTGAGGTGAAGGCTTCGTTTGGTGTCGGTTTGGATGTGGATGTGGAGGATTGGATGAGGGCCGAAAGGATTGAGGATGCGGTAGGCACCTGCGTGGTTGGGAGAAATTTGTTGACGAGAAGGGCAAGATGGCGTGCGAGTGCGAGATGTGTAGTGAGGTTTTCTTCGGCAATAGCACGTCGGACCAGTTCCTGAAGAAGAGATTCCATATCGGGGCTGGTGTACGGCAGCTTAGAGTCCTTAGGGAGTCCGGCAAGGAGGTAGGTTGACAGGATCATTGTTTGCTCTCGAAGGTAGGTGGTAGTCGACGAAAACGGGATGGGAATAAAGCTATCATCTGTTGCAAAAAGTGCGTATACGTTCCCGCAAACTTCATCCTGTTTCTCGCGGGGAAGGGACCGGACAATAAGGTTGCACAGGCGCCCAAGGACGTCCAGTAAGGACGAGTCCTTCATAACCGTGGTCGTATCATCTTCGGTCGTTGCGATGGCCGCCCGGCTAGTCAATTTCACCAGTATCTGATCATAATAGTAGGTAATGTTCGAATCGTTTTGCAAGCCTTTTCGATCCATAGCATAGAGTATCGTCAACAAAATCGCACGGGGATATGCGGAAGTGCTTGTATTTCCGGGCTGAAGTACAATTTCAAGCCTGCTCAAGAGGCGCCGGACGAAGGTTTCGAATATGTCTTTTTCAATGCTGATTTGAGCAAGGCTTTCAAGCGTTGTAAGATAGACAGGATCGGCATCTTTGTCGGAATCCGGAAGCGTCGCCATGAAAGCTGGAAAGGCGATATCCATAATGAGTCGGGGCTTATGTTTCGATATCCCAGCCAGTGCGTCTATTGCCGCCTTTCTCAGCTCTGCTCTCACTGAGGTCTCTATGAGCAGAATGTCATCGAGATACTGTACAAAAAGGCCGATTTCGTTTTCCTGCAAGAATCCTCGAATGGAAGATAGGCGAAGCAGGCCTTGCAAGGAGGTAAGGCGGAATGAGGTTTCATCCTTTGCAGATCCCATTAGAGCTTGGCTGAAGATTTCAATTAACCGCTCTTGGAACGAGGAGAGAGGATTTTCCGGCGCAGGATCCGATCCAGGTGTAGTCCATGTTCCAAATATATCAATAGCGGAATCAAATAGAACTACAAAAGATTCCAGGAGAGCTCTTTGCTTGGCAATTCCATCAGCATCTTGATAAACTGCGAGTAATGGTGCAACGACGGCCTGAATAATTAGAGCAAAAGATGCCAAAGAAGCAGATGAAAGAGATCTCAAGATCTGTCGTGCTGGCTGGGCTTGTTTCTGTTGCGGTTCGCGCAGTTGTTCATTACATTCCTTTGTTATTGGTTTCAGATATTGTGCGAGAGCTGAAATTTGAGATGTCGTGGTAAGTGTGGACAGTCGCTTTGCGAGGCATTGAAGTACTCGCAATGACTCTTCTGTGATAATTTCTTCCTGCGCATTAAGAATCTCAAATTTCAAAGTGTCCCAGACGCTTATCGAGTAGCGCGACAGAGTAGCCGGATCGTATGAGGATATGCATGCATAGAGCGAGTTCAAGGCGTCTTTCTGCCCGGCTGTTAGCAGCCTTTCATCCCGGAAAGGGGAGGAGAGGTTCACGTACTTTCACATTTAGTGATGTAGAGTCTAGTTTATCTAGGAGTGAAGGGAATGCGTAAGGGGCAAAAAGCTGCGTTGACGAAATACAATCTTGCAAGCGGGTCTTCAAATCTTGCGCTGTGATTCCGTATGGATCATTTGGCGGAGGTTTAAAGGTGATGGGAAAATAATTATATACCGAATCAAAGAGGGCCTGTATGTGGCCACTACGTCAAAATCCGAACTCCAATATTTGTCGTCGGCGGTTGCGTGCATACCTGAACATTTTTGGTTATGTCCCATTCCACCATCAGGACCCTAAGAATGGAGAAAATGAGCATGAGATTCCTTGGATCTCTCTCTCCGCTCACAAGGTCAACAATTCCAACAAGCGATTCGTCACCCATATCTCGCAGTGCTAAATAGATGGTGAGTTACATCTCAAAACCTCGAATGTGGGGTACATGCGCACCTTTTCTGTGGTTTGACATTAACCCATTAAGCAACTGAAGAAGTTGGAAACGTTGTGATTGTGGACGAGCCTGTAAATCCGGAAAGTGCTGGAAAATCCTTGGGGTACGTGAGCATGTTTCTTGGACGCTTCAACACTGATCTATAAAAAAGCGGAGGCTTTAATACTCGTCGTCTACTGACGCACTTACGATCGTATAACCCCCTCAGTCATATCTTTAGTAAAGCGCTCAAGGCCTTGAAGCCTATCCAGGCCTGCAATTGCCCCTCCATCTGCGATTCGATCGCAGTAGAAATCTGTCAGAGCCTGTATTTGTTGGCGGGAAAGCAATTTCGGAGAGAGGGCCCTTATGACGGCTGTCAAATATGAAACCGCCTTCCCCCGGATAACAGGATTTTCGTCATTGATATATTCTCCCAGGGATTGAACAACGTCGATCAAAGTTGATTGTTTGCTTTCAAGTTCTGCAAAAAATAAAGAATAAACGGAACCCGTCAGTTCTCCGCACTTTGGCAGATCGAGAATGAAACATGGAAGACGTACTTTGGGCTGTTATGCTAGCAATTCCCAGAGCCTCTTCTCTGTTATTCTCGACTACCAGCAAAAAATCTTGCAATTCAGACATCTTGCTGGTGATTCCCAATGCAGCCCAACGGTGGTGAACTTGGAATTGTGACGATGGCGGTTGTTTTCGCGCGTTCCGGTCAAAGATGCCAGCCCTTATCGATAACAGTCACGTGTGGTGGTTGCCGCTGTGGGCAAGGAATTCGCGAAGAAAGGGAGCAGAAAATTAAAAATAAAAAAATAAAAAATAAAAAAACAAATTTAAAAAAGTGGAAAGAGAAGATGAAGAAAAAAGAAACCTCTTCTATGTTAGCATGTCTTGGTTTCGATCCAAGGTCCTCCGGGTTATGAGCCCGGCGCGCTTCCGCTGCGCCAACATGCTTGCTTGATATAGTTAGGACTTAGTCACACGCTATAAAAGCCAAACTATCATACGATGCCAAATTAGTACTAGTCCTTGGGGCACATTACAACAGGTTCATCTACACAGAACTGCAGGGTAGCAGCCGATTATGACTTTCTGATCAAAGAGTCCTGGTTCTGCTGTAACACGTTTAAAATATATTATTCGTCATCCGCTGCTTCGCGCAAAAGAGCGAAATAATGGAAAGTAGAGCAAAGGTCATATGACGTAATCAGCTTCGCCAGTAAATCACGTGAAGATGGTGGAGTTCATAAGTTATCAACTTGTGATGATATCATTCACACTCTGGGTTATGTGAAATATATCCCCCAAGTCGAGTCCTCGGACTCCCTCCACTGCCAGCCATGAAGTCCCTCCTCCTAAAATATTTTGTCCTCTTAATTTCAATTTCCCTCAGCGTAACAGCCCTTCGTGGCGTCCCTGAGAGCCTCAATTTCCGCCTCGTTACCCGCCGCCGTCTCCTCCCGCGAAACTTTCAAATCCCCACAACTATTGAAGCAAACCCGAACACATTCTCCTTGCTGCTCCCGCCGCAAGACCAGGTGGCAATGGGGAACAGTAACAGTCGCCAGCAAGGCAAAGGCAACGATCCCAGTGGAAAAGCCCACCGAGACCTCTTCGTCTCCGACATCCTCGCGAAGACTCGCGAAGTCAACATCTTCTCCTCCCTCACGCGGGATATCGAGCCTGTCTCCGCCCGCTTCAACAATGAGTCGGAGAAGAGCACCGTACTAGCTCCGCTGAATTCCGCAATTCAGGGATTGCCCCGCAAACCCTGGGAGGACCCGGAGGATTACAAGAACTTTGGAGAGAAAGCAGCTTATGCGGGAAAGGAAGGGGAAGGGAGAGCGGCAAGGAATCTGAGGCGTTTTGTTGAGGCGCATATTGTACCGGTGAGCCCATGGTCGTCTCATGAAACGGTTAAAACTGTCGGTGGTGGCGGGGTCTTTTGGAAGAAAGGCGATGATGGGAAGGTTTATGTGAGTGCCTTATCTCTTTTTTCGTTTCTTTTTTTTCGTTGAGTTGATAGTTTACTGATGGCTGGATAGATTTATCCGGGTAAAATCGAAGTCCAGAAGATTATGACTCAGGCCTCCAACGGGGAAGTCTGGGTTCTTAAGGGGGTTGTTAATTATGTCTGAGCCTCAACTGGATTAATGGTGCTAATGGCATCGGCGTCGGCGGGTGTATTTCTTTCATGACAACTATGATTTATGGCTTTTCGTTTTGATATCCCGGAACAGCTTTCTCAATTTTAACATCTTCTGCTTGGGATTGACATGGTTATGGGGCATGTTTATCATTACGGATGCACATTTCTCAAGATCTATAGGTCACGATATGATATTAAATCAAACTTCAACGCTACACAGCGAACTCTTTAATTGCCTGTAAAATTTCAAATAATATAGTACATCATGGTCTCGTCATTCTACCCAACTCGAA